TGTGTGACAGAGTTCGTATTTATCGCTCGCTACGAATCAGAGGATTTATTCTAAACCCTTACTTAATTCGGCCAAATATATGCGACTGTGTGACAGAGTTCGTATTTATCGCTCGCTACGAATCAGAGGATTTATTCTAAACCCTTACTTAATTCGGCCAAATATATGCGACTGTGTGACAGAGTTCGTATTTATCGCTCGCTACGAATCAGAGGATTTATTCTAAACCCTTACTTAATTCGGCCAAATATATGCGACTGTGTGACAGAGTTCGTATTTATCGCTCGCTACGAATCAGAGGATTTATTCTAAACCCTTACTTAATTCGGCCAAATATATGCGACTGTGTGACAGAGTTCGTATTTATCGCTCGCTACGAATCAGAGGATTTATTCTAAACCCTTACTTAATTCGGCCAAATATATGCGACTGTGTGACAGAGTTCGTATTTATCGGGGAAGTTTTTCAAAATGAAGCCGAAAACATGTTGAACTTTAAAACACAAATCGACCGTACATATTTTTTTTTTTTTTTTTCATCCTCAAACTGTGCCTTAATACTTGTGGGAGAAAACTGAAGGTTTCATTCATAGATTTAACACTTTTGTGGGTCACAAAATGGCAAACCACACCTGACAACACGTTTCGGAATCCGTAATGAAATCAAAATGAAACTGACTTACTTCAGATAGTTGAAAGTGACTCACATCGGAGATATGAAACGGCGCTTCGGCCTTGAATTCCTTCAATTCTGTTAGTCGCAAAAGAAAAAAAAAATTGTATTATAGGCATGAAAACACGAATTATGTTTTAAGAGCCATCTTTACCTTGTCCACGTCGAGAAATAACTAGAAAAAGTCAATCAATCGGTGGGGTCTCTTTTTGCAAACGAGAAGGCTTGTTTGCAAAGTTCATGAGAAGCTTCAACGTTTATCACGCTCCTTTCCAAGTCAAAATAGATAGCAAATTGAACTTCACAAACACAAAGCAAATTTTTGCTCTCTTAAGACTCCACGATAAGTTTTTTTCTTGTTCCTAAATTGAGTCTCTGCAACAAAATTTCCCTTAGAAAAAGAAAAAACTTTTTATTTCCCGTCTATGTAAACTCCCTGTGTTCGTTAATATTCTGTGCTCTTAGCCATCTTTGAGCTTTTATCAAAGTTTGCCATCATTTAGAAAACATTAGGTTTTGATCAACATTTTGTTTAAATCTTTGAAAGATATAGCATACTGTCTTCACGATGAAAAAAATTGAACGAAGTTTTTTAGTACAGAGCCGAAGATGTAAGTAAATTTTAACAAACAACGCTAACTTGGAGCTTTTGAATGGAGAAAATTTAAACAGTGTGGTTTAGTAAGGAGCTTACGTAGTCAGGACGGCGAATCCAAGAAAAAAACGTCGATTAAAAAAGAAATAAATATTTTTGGATGAGTTAAATGTCTGTAACGACGCACGACCCAATTTCAGCATTACATATGTGAGTGGGGTTGAGCTTGTAGAGGACGGCCGGGAAATGTATGAAAATTAAAGCTGCACTGGCAGAGCCATTATTCTGCTTAGAAAATCATTTGTTTCGTTGCGTTCTCCAAGCTGTCGCCTTCGTAGTTTGCTTAAGGTCCCTTCTGTCAGTGACTGTCACACTTTAGAAAGAGCTACGGATGTAAATGATGTGTGCATTATAACAGGTGCAAAACTTTCAGTTAGTTTCCTTTTCTACCTGTACCCTTTTTTTATATCTATAATAGAAAGGTGCTGAAAACAACTCTTATCTTAATTATTTTATGATCATACGACAAAACTGTCTTATAGGGCTGTGTTATTAGAGCTGTTTCCTATTTCTCACTCTCGGTAAAGATTTTGTTAGATTAGCAACTTAGTGAAAAATAATAACAATCATAGCAACGATGCTATTGCCTTCTATAACTATATGGAAAACAGTAATTATTTAAGTACCTGACAAATGCATTTTCCAAATTTTCGGTCAGTTTAGTACCCAGATATAGTGCTATTAACATAAATTTCACTTTACATGAGTTGAATCATTTTAAAACAGCTCAGACAGCTTTGAACATCTTCGAAGGTTCTAGGTAAGTTCTGCGGTTGATTCTGTTGATAGAGACCAATCACTTTTAGAACGGGTTATAGTAATTTTAATTTCTCAGCGGAGCTAGGCCAACGACATTATTTAATCAGTATTTTATAAAAAGAACGATTGTTAACGATGCTCATTAGCGGTTTAAACAACTTGCAGGAACTGGTCACTTTGCCACTCGCTTTGCAGAACATCTCTAGCTTCGTTGCAATTTTTCATAGAGATATCTTGTTTTACCGGCTGGGCAGCATTTTTAACCAAAGACTACGGTCCGCAAAAATTGATTTGGAAATCAGTTTTTTGATACTAAATTTGTTTTAAAAAGATTGAAACGTGGCCTAAAAACCATATGTAATTTGATAATCCTTCACAAAAAGTAATTCAGAAACTTAAAACTAGAGGTATTTGTAGTTAAAAATTATAAAAATCAATATGGCGCTCATTCATAAAACATCTGAATTTTCCAAAGCAATTTATTCGTTTGTGAAACGTTGAGCGAAGTCTTGAGATCTTCTATTAATACACTTTCGCTTATTCCTTTCTATTCCCTTGGTTTTCGACATTTCTACCTAAAATGTTACAACAGAAACCTAGGGATTTCAATGAGTTAAAGTCGCATTAGATCCCATTGGGTCTAGCTAGAAAAAGTGTCTCATAAGACATAAGTTTTCGGTGGAAGAAAGACAAGATTTACACACGCCATTGCAGAAAACAAACAAACAATCTCATAAACTCCAAAACACACATTTGCATTCACTTACAATTTTGCTTTCCGTGACAATTAAAACTGAACAGAGGTAAATCTTCGAATATTAATCATCCTTGGAAATAAACGATGTTTTCCGTAAGATTGCTGACCGTCGCTTTGGTGATTTACTAGTCGGTATGATCAATTCTAAAGTGTACGTGCAATTTTTTTCCTGTTCAATTGACAGGTGTCAGATCGTGACAGATACTGATTGAAAACTTATTAGAAGTTTGCTTGGAAGCCTTTTATGTAAATTAAAAATGTTTCAGAGAAGCCTTTCTCATTAATTTTAAAAACCTCTGTTTTCTTTATCATCTACTCGGTAAAAAAATGTTCAGTTTATGGAGGATCTTCCCGAAATTGAACTCGTAATTGTAGCCCAAAATCATCCAAGTTCTTTTAGCAAGCGTTTTGTTGAGAGTTAGAAAACATAACAATGTTATTCCCCGGCCTGGGTTGGTCCGTATTGGGAAAAACTGTGTCCTCTCTCTTTAGTACCTCGAGCACAGTTTTTCCCAATACGAACGTCCCATCTAACGTATGTTTTTTTTTAATTCAACCAATCAGATTGTTTGCACCATTCAAACAAGGAGTCTGATTGGCTTATATTAGCGTGTTTTATGAGAGTACTGAAAAACTTGCTGACGTCACTTTTTATCCGCTTCGAAAATTTAGAGATATTTTGAAAATAGAAAGTAATGCGTGGTGAATTTTACGGATTCTTTAATAAAACAAACATAGAAGACCCTGAATGCGTTCTGTTTTGTTGTAAAGCACTTATGCAAGGGCGTAGGCAGGGGGGGATCCTGGGGTGCCCGTGACCCCCCTTGGTAGGCCTTCTTTTGAGCAAACAACCTACAATATTCAGGTGGTGAAAACGCCATGACAATATCTTGGCCTGCCCACTATACTCTCACTGTTCATCCCAAAACTGTAACATTAAGTAAAACATGTACGGCGGGGAGGTCGACATGACAATCTGGTGAGTAGCCTCTGTGAGCCCCCCTTTGAAAAATCCTGGCTACGCCCCTGCTTATGGAAGCGGCTAAAGCACTCAAGAACTAAGGAGAACACTCGACAATGTCCCGTGTTCCCCCCCCCCCTACACTTCTTTGGTGCTCGAGCCACTGCTGTAAGAATCTTGAGCAAACCACGACGGCGACAGCAATGAGGACGTGACAAACCTAACGATCTAAGGGGGAGAAGAGTAGCTCAGCAAGTGCGTTTTAAAACTTTGTACATTTTTTAACTCCCTCTGCAAAACAACGGGTGAAATCACCAAAATTGGTGTCATTTATGAACAAAAACCGCGACGGAAAACTATTTCAATTTCCATTTGAGACTCAACGCTGCTCACACACGTTAGGCTGAAGTTTAGGTGTGGTGCCGTAAGAGTCGGTAAACACATGCAGGCATTGCGAAATTCTAACTAAAAATATAAATAAATTTTTTGATTGAAGTCGTCTTCGTCTCAAAAAAGGTTGTGCTTATTAAGAGTCTAACTAACACGTATTGTGGTCGACAGCTTTCATTTACTTATGCAAAAATACTGCTCAAATAACCTGCTGAGTTTTTCTCATTTGTCTGAGTAACAACTAACTGTCACGTAAATATGCATCATGATTCCATCAATTCTAGAATCACTGGTGGTGAAAACCAAAACCGAAATAGCGAATGTCCTTTTGATAGCATTAGCCTCACTGAACAGCACACTATTAGGAGAAAAAAGGGAAGGCACGCTGCGCCAAAGATCTCCCAACTAAAGGTTCTTTCCTCTTTTTTTCCATACATAAAAACCAACACAGCAAATTCCAATTCTCATCATCGAGAATCAGTGAGGCGAAAGATGCATTCTGCGGATGTCCTGGGTATCTGTACCATGAATTGAGTACTGCTACGCCTCATGGTCAAAGTACTGGTCCATTTCGACAAGTTTCCCCGAAAGCATGCTGGTCCTCATTGATTCATTGATTTTCATGGGTGGGTGGAGAGTGGCAGTGAAAGTGTACAGTTGACGGAGAAGATAGGCCAGACAGAGTTCCTGCCCAATGCTTTCAATCCAAAGTCGAACGCGCGCGATACTGGGACAACATGTCTCCCCCTTACAATATCAAGTGAAAACCAGCCAAATTCAGACACGTAATTAAATTGCGCTGGATATCTATATGTTCTTTTTTATTTCATTGTTAACTCGGTAACTGCTGAATATTACTATACTTTAGCTATCATTGAATACAAAGCTAAAAAAATAGACCATTCAGATGAACAAATAAAAGTCAAGGACGAAGAATATCACACTTTCATAAAAAGTTCATTCTAACGTTAAAAAGCTGTAAATAAGGCTGTAACATCTTTTAAACCGAGCAATTGTGGTGCATAAACCCATCCAGATACTCTGCAAATAAGCAAATGGAATTTGTTAGCTGTGCTAGTTGTGTGAATTTAAAAGCAAGCGGTAAGCCCAAAACTTGAAATAGAAGAAGATCCTTATCTTAGATTGACCAGGACTGGAAGTAAAATCCGGGTGGAATAAATAAGGTGTTTTTACCATCTTTTCTTGTGAATGATTGTTGACCGGCCGACACAGACACGAACGGGAACAGCTGGACTCGTAACACAACGAGCATACTTTATTCAGGCTGTCAGCCATGCTTTCTACACCACACAGACAGACGCTTCTTCGCATGCGCAACACTGCTGACCAACTACAACATTCCTACCAACATGATGATCAAGCGCCCTTGCTTTGTAGCTAAATATCGAATAACGGACATTACAGATGGAGGCAACCCCCTTCGGGTCCTTTTGACCGGAAAAAAAAATTTTGGTAATCCCAGACACGTACTATTAAAACTCGTCAACTTGTGCAAATTACATGTACGCTTTATGATGAATCCATCAGGTACAGGCATAAGAATTGTTTTCACTCGTCATAATGAGTTGCTCAAGAACCTTTCCTGGAAATTATTTCACAATTGCAAGGAAATGTACGTCCAAAAATAACTTAACAAAAATTTACAAACTTACAGACACAAACTCTCCTGCAGTCTTGAAGTTTCTTGAAATTATTCTGGTTACCACGACATCCACCATAATAAAATTTCTCACATTTCTTAGTGAGCTTGTTGTAGAAATACCGAGGCCTCCGGGCCCTACATGGTCCTACTTTCTTCGGTTGGTAGCAAATTGGCTTTGGTTTAACAGCTGAATAAAAAAGGGACAACTAAATCTACATGTACCAAGACGAGGCTAATAAACGCAAGGCAAAATCAATTATTTGCAGTCTATTTAAACACATTATTATAAAGCTTTGGCCCTTTTTATTTACAAGGAGCTTGAGCTATAATACTGAGGCTCACTAAAGAAAGGGGTTTTTCGAAAAATCACGACAATTACTTACAAGCGCAGGTTTTGTTACAATTACGAATGCTTCTAAATCTGTTCACGTTCCCCAGGCAACCTCCGTAATAGAACTTTTCGCATTTTCCAGTGCGGTGGTTGAAGTAATATCTACCGATCCTGGCCTTACACGGGCCAGTTTCCTTTGGAAAAAAGCATGTACCTTGAAAAGACAGAAAACAAAGATATATTACTGGCGAGCATTACCAAAACTACTACCAAAGATTGCACCGTTTATACTTTCGTCAATGCTCCCGTCAGGCTTTGCTACAAATATACAGCTTTCATCGAAATAGTTATTAGCCTTGATCACTTACATCGTTCCTCACATGCCTGCAGTGTGGGAAAGTTATTTCCGTTTCCTCCGCAACCACCGTAGATGAACCTCTTGCACTGACCTCTGGCCCTATCAAAGTTATATCGCGGGAAATACCCTTTGCAGAGACCTGGTTCCTCAGGAAGGAGGCAATCTTCCGTTTGGCCGTAACCTTTGAAAAAGAATCATATATATGGAATTAAAATTAAAAAATTCCCCGTGTGTTAAAGCCAAAGTAATCAACTATTTACAGATGTGGAGGTCGCTAGTCGTTGATATTTACTAAACAGTTAGATAAAATAGCACAAAAGATGATTTCAACTCCTTTATTTCTGCAACGATAATAACATCCACAAGTATAAATCCCATGGGATTTTCTCGGTGGTGAATAGCAAGGGATATTCAGAGTTTAAGTAGTCAATCAGAGCGCGCCACTCTCTTCAGTATGTACCTATAGCCACTGTAGTTTGGAGCGTTCTAAACCTTAGTTTATCCGTTTCAAGTGTACCATACAACACAACCTTGCGTTATTGCAAGAGTTCTCTATCGGTGGGCCCGAGAGGGAATGTAACTACCTGACCTTAGAAGTTTAAACGTGTGTTATCCGAGTACAATGTACAAGACTGTCACAATCTGGAATCTCACCGCGATAGATTAAACATTCGTAGCCAGAATCTAACCCAAAATAATTTACAAGAATTTCACAGATGAACATCATCGTACTTTATGCTTCCGATTAGACAATCAATTCTTGACTGCCAAGGCTAAAACAGGGACTTAAGTGTCGGTCCAAAGCAATGTCAGCAGACAAACTAAGCCACGTCCACCAGGCTGTCCCAACCAGGAAACTCGTCGTAATAGCTAAAACCCAAATAACTTCGGACTTTGGATTCAAATCCTAACCAAATGCCACATGCATATGAACAAATCATGAAAATTATCGCTGACTTACTCTGCGCTTATCATGCCTCAAAAAACTCGACCCTGAATCAGAAGTAAGGGGATGATCTAAGAGTTTAAACTTATCTGACTGAAGTCCCGACAATTGTCAGGGAAAATTACGTTAATCAGCAAAATGACAATAGCTCGTGTATTATTATGAAGGATGCAACAGTCTAGTAAAAGTACTGAAGTAATTGTTTTAGTTGTAAGACTCTCTCTCTGGTGTAAAGTACTAATAGCCAGTTATTGCACACGTGGCATCGTACTTTAAGACCTTTTAAAGTATGTTGAAATTACGGACAACCAGTAATTTCTAAATTTAGCTTGTACCGAAGACGTGGCAGGAAATCTAAATTACAGG